GAAAGGGTTAAGCATCTCCCCTTGCAAGGTCTTCTTTCAGATAAGCAATATGGCTTCCGTTTTAAGTCAACGTTAACGATTATTGCTGAAGATTAGAATGGTGAAGCTCTGGCTGTTGCTTTGGATATCCCGGAGGCATTTGACAGGTGTTCTTCATTGAAAAGTGTTATGGTGACCTATCTACATTAGAATGAACTCTTCCTCCTTCATAAATACTAACCTGCGAGACTTCCTGGCTGTGTGCGACTTCTGTCGAACTCTCTGCTTTGGCAGAGAGGAACCAAGACGAAGCAAAGGGCAATGTTTCGCTTATGCCGGCTCTAAGGGAATATTTTTGGCCGAGCCTACGGGCTCAGAGAAACCCACGTTAAACTCGGCCTTGTGCCACATACATTCCTCGTGGGGGGGAGTGTTAAATATCGGCATTCGGAACACAGTCGGAACTGCTGACTAATAACACTCTTATTTTGTATATATGTTCTGTTATTTCAATAAACTTTTTCAACCTACCTTCTTTTCTGTGTCTTTCTTTCTGGCACCGAACAGACTACAACAAAAAGTTATGGTATTTAAGGGTGAATTTTTAAACTGATTTCTTTCTCATCAAATTACAAAATGAATGTCATCTTGAATGGCCACTCTTCTCGATCTTTTTGCATTATTGCAGGCGTCCCTCCCCAGGGGTCTATCATTGGACCTACGTTTTTCCTAATTTTTTACAAATGACATCCCTGATGTCATCACTTCTCAACACTGTATCTATCCTGAGGACACAACTATTTACTCCTGTCTTAATAGTAAGTCGGATCGGTTCAATAAAGTCAAATTGGCAACTGATATAAAAGATGACCTGTTGTTAAATGGGGCAAGGAGTGGCTTGTTAATTTTAACGCCTCGAAACGAAACTTCTCCCCTTTAATCATCTGTGAAAATCCGTTTTGCCTTTCATCACCATGACTAATGTTAACCTCTAGGTGTGTGACTCATCGCGATTTCTGGAACCAACCTTTTCAGCTGAGATGAAATGGAAGGAATATATTAAATCAGGTCTGCAGCTAAGC